ATTTTTTTAAAGCTGCCATTTCATAGTAGATACAGCCCTGAAGTAAAGAAAGGCGAAGACCCAGATAGCCTGGGGCCCTTTTACTTCTTAGGGGACAGTGTATCAGAGTCATCCAATTATAAGTGAAAGCTGTGGAACCTGCTCCTTCGATTCCACAGAGAGGTTATTTTCTCCTGACTCCGTCACGCCTTGCAGCTGAATCCCAGGGTACAAACTGAACCCCTGCAAACTGGCCCACCCCACCCCACACCACCTCACGCACTCTCTGCCCTTGTCACGCTCTCTGGCATTCGTCCCCAGCTGATCCTCTGTCAGAGCTGCCATGGGACAGAGCGGACTGCACCCAATGGACCTGGATTAGAATCTGCTGGAAACTGACACGGCTAACCATTAAAATAAAATCCACTCCTTAGCTGTGATACCTAAAGAAGCGAGTCAGTGTTTTGTTCTTTTTTTGACCATGACGGATACTGTAGTGGAGGAGGACAAGGACCCTGATATTGAACTATTTGTTAAGGTGGGCACGTTGTGTGTGTGTGTAAACAACTAGGCACTCTCTATATCAGCTTCTGTATCATTTCCAAAACAAATTTTCTGCACACAGATTAAAACACACAAATTGCAGCCCATGCCATAAAGTGTTGTGCATTCGAATAAAAGCGCATGCCACAGTTAATATAATTTAAAATCGTCTTTCAAATGTCTAAGTGCAGCTCCTTTAAGAGGGTGCATGCCATGTTGTTGTTGTTGGGTGCTGATTTTCCATGTGTTAACCTGACACCGACCCACATTCATGCACTGACAATCTCTCTCCTTCTCTGGCCCTCTCAATTATTACTGGATTATTTTCACTATTGAGATTAAAAGCTCAAATTATCTTCTGTTAATGTTGCTATGATTTAACATTTAGGACTTTTGCTTCTTTGTTAAACAGACACCCCTTCTTTATTCAAGGCAACTGAGTTATTTTAAAAATTAGAGCAGTTGCAAACCTTATAGGGAAGCGAGAATGTTTTATATCTTTAGATACCCCTACATTGTTACTGAAATATGTGGAAAACTTTAAATATGTGGAAAAAGAATCAGAGATTTTCTCTGAAACTCTTGTGAAAAATTTCCAGCGCTGAAGACAGAGGAAAATGTTTTTTTCAAAAGCTTAAAATTATGAAAAATGATACGCTGCGGAACATTTTGGGTCAATTCCTTTCTAAATATAGACCCAAAACCACACTTTTAAAATGTAAAATTTAAAAAAATTAAAGTATTACATATTTCATGCAAATCAAAACTTGTAGAAATTAAATCGTAAAAATATTTCCCAAACTTCCAATAGAAAGACTGCAAAGCTAGTGTAACCATCACAATGAATTAAAAAACCTGGAATGTTTATACATCAAGTGATCAGTAGTCCTAAATAATATATATTATTTTTAATCATTTATTGTATTTTATTTAAATGTTTTCATTGGAGCAGTGTTTGCTAATTGTGATGCCTGTTGTCTTTCTTTTTTAACTAGTTTTAGCCCAACAGCAATGTTTACGTAGCTAATTTACATTGTGTTTTACTGCAGGGTACTTGCTACAAAGAATTGCCCTTTAGGGGATTAATAAAGTCATCGGATTTTGCTATAACTTTTTGCTAAGAAGGGAATCTTAGTTCTTTTTTTGGCATGAATGCATTTCATTATAGGACAAAACACAGATTTCAGTAGCTAAAAAAATGCAGTTAAAGTGTAAGAACCAGAGGTTCAGATGGGCAGTGAGGCGGTTAATGGAAGCTGTGTGGATTATTAATGCCGGACCTTGTATCTGATTTCAATGCAGTGTTCGGTTACAGTTCTGCTCGTGCAGACTCAAACAAACAATCCCAGCACATGTGAACCTAAGAAACTTTTTATAAAATTTCAAATTAAGCCGCTGTCGCCCTCAAGATGCAGCCAAAACTATTTAGATGCCTGCCTCTAAATATGCAAGAACTTAAAATAGTATCCTAAAAGCTTTCATATAGACTTGGTTTAGTATATTTTTTATTCTTTGTCTCAAACTGCAATGTGCATTATTTGATAAGTTGGGTGATAATGAATTGGAAATAATTGTTTTCTATTATATGTTTATACCATTGTTAATGCTAACGACATTCAGACTCTAAAGTGCAACAATATGAATGCAATACCTTGTGCAATATCTAATGTGCAATTAGTATCTAATACCTTCTGCAATAACCTGTTTATATATTTGATACCCAATGCAATAACTATATATACAAATACCCATCAATATTAATACCACTTTGATACCCTGTGCAATAACCCTGTATAATAATTCAGCTAAATGCTGAAAATGAAACTTAAGCTGTCCATACACCATACACCTTTTCCTCCTTTTGGCATCTTCTTCTTATTTTTGACTTTTGAGCTGATGGCTGATGTAATGAGTAAATTGCTTCATAAGAATATAGGGGAACATGTTGGAAGCGTTTATGGGTAAAAGAGGATTTCCAAGGGAGGGTGTTATAAATCCCAACATGTGGTCATTTAAAAGAAGCTTCCTTCACCAGCTTCCTGTTGGATCTTTAAATGCTTGTACCCACGATTCAAAGGAAATGGACAAAGTTATATAAAGGAAGCCCGGGGTCAGAGGTCAGCTCCCTGTCTGCACTGCTGGGATCCTTCAGTCGGTTCTGAACTTCTGATGCCATCCATGTGGGGGAGTTATGGGTTATGTTATGTTCTATTTGCTGCTTCCACAAAGAAGATAGAAATGAACACCTTGGCAGAAGAAGTGGAAGGAAAATCCATATATGGTCTGCAGAGGAAAAGAGACACCAGCTCCTTTCCTCTCATTATTAAATACGGTGTTCTTCTTAGTTACTCTCATATAAACATGCCTGAGCTCACCAATAGGGTGTGTTCTGGGGTATTCAGTTGTGGTTGTCAGCTCTTGGAGTTACATAGAAATTTTTTTCTCTGTAAAGAGGGATTTAGAACCTGCCCTCCATCCTTTTAGAGAAATTTTCTTTGAATTTACGTTTTAATCACTGATTTTTTTAAACCAGTTTTTAAAAAATCCTTTCTGAGCACATTTTCACTTAATATACACAAAACCTCATCTCTGTGAGTTTTATTATTACTTTTATTTTTTTCCGTAGTGTCCATCATTTTTTCTTTGTGTTTTTTTATTAGAAGAAATACACATGCTGAGGTTTTAAGTTTAATTAGTTTTACTCCCTTTTGTAACCACTCTGTGGGTCTCTGCAGGATAAATCGTACATGAGTTTTGAGACCTCTGTGTCATCAGTGCGATGTTTCTGTTCTTTAAAACCCTGACTTACACAATCAGACACACATAATGTCCAGAAACTCTATAAAAAATTATATAGAAATGCCTAATGTATGAAAAATAATGCAATGAATGATCTAATTTTACATACAAACTGTATGTTCTTTATGTTTAGTCACAAAGTTCAACAACAACTCTAATAAAAAAAAAAATAGAATTTTCTTAAAATTATTTTGTGGTCCAAGATTTATTAATAAAGAATGTTCAGAATCAAAAAATGAGACAGTCTGGAATTTTTTCCAATATTTTTCATTTTTATTTCAAATCCTACCAATTTTAGCGGGCTTGATTGGGATAATTATTCCCAACTAACATATATATAATCTCTAAAACAGGATAAGTGGATTTCAGCTGCTGGATATGTCAGATTTAGCTGATTAACTAGGCCTCACTTGTTCAATTTGACAGCGAGGACTTGGGACAAATAGCCAGAAAAAGCCTGTTGATTTCAAAGTATATTTCTAAATCATTGAGATTAAATGGAATATTCAAATATTTGTATCTGTTTGTGTGTGTGACAGGCTGGGAGTGATGGGGAAAGTATTGGAAACTGTCCTTTCTCCCAACGTCTCTTCATGATCCTTTGGTTGAAAGGAGTAGTCTTTAACGTCACTACTGTTGACTTAAAAAGGTAAAATCGTCTTCCTTGTGAGTTTACTTGATAAAGTTAGCTGTAAAATCAATTAAATTGAAACATTCTTTTTATTTTGTGAATGAATTAAACACCAAAGAGGGGTTTAATCCAGATATATGAGCTGATGTGTTGTGTTTGGCAGGAATATGCCATTAAAATGTCAACAGGTTTGATCAAAAACATAAGATATAAAAGTCATTAGCTGATGTTTATAATAATGAAAAGGGATAATTCAATTGCTTAACAAAAATTGGTTATTTTTATCAGAAAACCAGCCGACCTTCACAACCTTGCCCCTGGAACGCATCCACCATTCCTTACCTTCGAGGGAAATGTTCTAACCGACGTCAACAAGATAGAGGAGTACCTGGAAGAGATGCTGGCTCCACCGAAGTAGGTATCACCTATACCTCCGTGTATGACAGGGATGAGCGTACAAACAGCAATCTGACTAAAAACAATCTGCCGTTCAGGTATCCCAGGCTTGCAGCGAAGAACCGTCAATCCAGCGTTGCAGGAAATGACATATTTGCCAGGTTCTCAGCTTACGTCAAAAATACACGACCAGAAAACAATCGCTGTGAGTTCACAACTTATGAGACCATTTTGAAAGAAGTTTAACAGTGGCTCTTAGGAGTCTTGTTTTTTGTTCATTATTGTTTCTTTTTCAGTTTCTTCACTTTTTCTTGTATTTTATTCATTGTACATTTGGTTTAATCTCTTTATGCCTACTGTCCTTTATAAGGTAGTTTCTTAGTGACTTAGTTCTGCTCCATTGGTGTTGATTAGTCTTCCTTCCTCAGCTCCCCTGCTTACATTTTCTCTACTGTAGGCTGTTTCACATTAGGTTTTTTAAATTACACTGTCACAAGTACAGAGCAACGAAATTCACTCTCTGCATTTAACCCATCCTGTTGGGGAGCAGCGGGCTCAGGGAGCCAGGCCTCAGTCCATGAGGGTGGGGCTTGAATTCAGAACCTTTGGATTCCACTAGGCCGCCACTCCCCCAATAACATAAACCCCTGATTAATGGAACCTTGATTCTGTCATTCTCCACTCTTCCCTCAGCGTATGAGCTGAGTGGTTTATTTTCATTCTGTGACCGAGCAGTTGAAAGCTTCCTCATGCTCAACCCATGTCCCGCTTGTGCTTTGCTCTTTTAAAAAACCTACATAACATGACACCCAGAGCATAATGCTGCCATCACTGTGTTTCACTATCTATTTTCCTGATAAATGTGCTGTATATTCGTCACATTTGAAGTTTTAAAGTGTTCAAAAGTGTATCTGGAATCTTAAAAGTGTCAAGATTTGGTTTTAAGATTTATGTTAGGACCCAAAAGCAGAAGCTGAGAGGCAGGGGTGAGATCTTGGAAGGTTTAATGAAAAATCAGGCAGCAAAAACAGGAATCCAAAAATCCAACTTAAAAATGTAAATCAAAACAGAAATCCAAAAAAACCAACATAAGAATTGAACACTAACCAGGACCATGGAAACACCAGGGGAAAAAATCATGAGGAGCCAGGGCAGGATGAAATAAGCAAGGAACCAGCAAAGAGGGACTGCAGAGGGAGTGTATTTATGGCTGACTGAACAAAGGTAGGACTATTGAGCTGATAAGGAGCAGGTGTGAGCAGAGCTGGTGAGGAAGCCAAGGGAAAAGAACACAAGGGGGCAGCAGAGGACAGACAAAAACCTAAGCAATTTAAATGAATCCAGACACCAATAAAGCTGGAAAACAAGGAAAAACCTGGCTAAAATTAAACTGAAAACATAGAGGAAAAACAACAGAACCAAGATCGTTACAAAAAGGGTGTGTGATTTATTTATTTAGTTTGCCATGTAATAACATTGAGAGCTGCAAATATGTGTTTCAGCGTTAGAGAAGAGTCTGAACAAAGCCTTGGCCAAACTGGATGACTACTTGATGCGACCAATCCCTGACGAGGTTCAATCTGGACGACATAGCGGCGAAGGCCCTTCCACCCGCAAATACCTAGACGGTGATGAGCTGACCCTTGCCGACTGCAATCTTCTCCCGAAGCTTCATGTTGTTAAGGTAAACCTACATCTGTTTCTTTCAATTCCTCTGAATGCGACGCATGAACTCTGGCGCTTTAACAACTTCTCCTCGACAGGTGGTTGCAAAGAAGTATAGAAACTATGACATCCCCTCTGAGTTTGAAGGGGTTTGGCGTTACCTTGACAACGCCTACAAGAGAGACGAGTTCACCAACACCTGTGCAGCGGATGTGGAGATCGAGCTAGCCTACCAGGCTGTGGCCAAGAGACTGGAAAAGTGAACGCAGTGTAGTGATAGCCGACAAATCTTGATTATACAAAAACATTTCATATGCTCCTTATAACTAATTTAACGTTTTTAAAACTGATTTGTAAATATAGAGTCAAAATGTGTATTAGCAAGTAGAATAGAGAAGAATGTGGGGTCTGAACAACCCTAAATGTCAAATGTTAGACATTTTGTCTTTTTTGGTCTAATTCATGCTGTTATCAACAAAAACTGAAGTTAAAAAGCAGTGAAGCACTTAGCATATTAAAAACAGATAAAGCCATAGCATTTCTATAGGTAACGTCTCACAAGTAATTTAAAGGATAAAAGCTTTGACAGAGGGTGTGTAGAGGGCTACTAAATGTTCATTAACTCCAAGTGAATTGCTTCTAGAAGGACTGTTTTCTCTAAACCTTATTGAGCAGAATAGCCTAATTTGCAAGCTTTCTACCGCTAATACAACATTGCCATTTAAGCTATGTCAATTGACAAGAAAAAAGTATTATTTTGTGAAAATAAATCTAAATATGTCCTTGAAGCCAGATATTTCATATTATTTAAGCGTATCAAATTATTTATATTTCCTAAATGCAGGAATATTTCTTCATTAAATATCTTCACAGTTCAAAGTTTTGCCTGACGACTTTAGAGAGCCTATCCCATGGTGTCAAAAGAGAATTACAATAATCCATCCAGGAGCATATATTACTGATTTTTCCCCAAAAAAGAGGCTTAATTTTCAACGTCTACAAAAAAAGATTGATTATTTTATTAAATCATGCAATTTATTTCATTCCCTGAATTGGTTAGAGTAGACTTGAAATGAATGGGTACAGATCAGCACAGAGTAAGCTGTTGGAGGATTGGGGACTGAATTAAATAAATCAGATTTTAAATCCAACATTTGATGTCACTAAGACAACCAAGAAGGTCTGAATAGAGTTGGCATCTGTAGGAGGAAATACCAAGACATTCATCAGCATAAAAATGCAATAAAATCTCATATTTAGAGAATGTATGAATGATCAAAGGCACAGGGAGAAAAGAAGGGGCTCAAGACTGGAGCCTTGTGATACCCCTCAGTAAGGCCACCGATCCTCACTCAATACCTTCTTTCAAATAGGTCCTCCAAATGGAAACGCCACCAAATTCTTTAAAAAATAAGATGCAAAAAAAAAAAAAAAATACAAATAAAAATCCATGTATTAGAGTGTTAAATTGCAAAATCTGTGGCCAGAGCTTAAAGGTAACCTTGGAGCAAGATGGTGGACAAACCAGAAAGTAGGACGCATGTGGGAGGCTACTCAAAGCCACTGACTCAATTCAAGCAGTTTGAAACTTGAATACGTATTTAGGGACTGTATGCAAACTTAATTTGATTTTTGATTTAGTTTTTTAAATCACATTTTATTCTGGAATTTACCAATATACTCTTAGTGACTATAAACCACCTAAAACAATAAAGGATCTAGTTTGTTTTGATGTGAGAGCCTGAGAAATAAAGCAGGTTGTGAAAAAGAAATTGCAACGAAATTGTAAAATTAAACACTTTGGGGATTCATTACAAACTAATTTCTATCTGTATAAAGTGAGCAAAATACATGGGAAGGAAAGGAACTTACTATGATAAAGTATCTTAGAAATATACATATGTTTTGTTGATGTATATTTTGATTTTGTTCCTTTATATTTGTATCACAATTAAAATCATAGTGAGATTTTCTAAAAGATTTCTTTAGCATATTCATTGGAAATAAGATTCGGTACATCACATTAAAGAAGATGTTATTTTCCTTGCAGTAAGCAGACAGACGGTAGGTTTGCTGATGTTATTCTAAAAAAAAAAACGTGTTAAAGCCAAAGTAATTGAAGCAGTTGGAGCTTTTCTAAGTGATGCATGTCCTATCCCTTATCTTTTTTCATTCTGATACCATTATCTCGAAATGTCAGGCCATAATTTCGTTATGTTTAATTAGTCAGAGGCTATAGGACCACACAGTCTGCCCTAGGAGTAGAAGAAGCATGCTTATGAAATGAATGACGCATCTGATTATACTCTATTGTGGTGTTAATTTAGCACACAGTAATGGAAGTTAAGCCTTCTGATCACAAGTGCCTTCGTGGGAATCAAGCTCACTTCTGCTGTACCTTCAGCTTTTTACGTCTGTACAGTATATTTCGTGTTTTAATTTATTCAGAGTGATTTTCCACATTGAATATATCCTGCTCTATAGAGCTATATGTGACGATTATATAAACTTTGAAATGTATTTTAAGATTCTGAAAAAGAGATTTTGTGTGTAAATCATCAGCTTCTATATCTGTGTTCTGTCTTATGATGACAAATGTGAACCCGCTGTGTTTACTATTTTCCTTATTTGGATAATAAAAGCTATTTTCTTAGATTGTGCAAAAGAGTTCTGTGTGTTGTTGTTGTTTTATTAACTGTAAATGGCATTGTATTCAAATTAAGCATTAAAACACACATACGTAGGGACAGAGAGACATTAGAGACAAAAATAGTCAATGTACCCTAATTGCTGTGTTGTATTGTAATAATCTAATAGATGTAAAAAAAATGTTGTTGTTTTTTTTTATTTAATCATATATTTTTTCAGGGAAATTGCTGAGTCACATAATACTATGACCTATGATTAGAAACTTCAAAGAGCTGCTGCTGTAAAATAAGCCTCAGTAACACCAGGTGACCAGCAGATGGCACTAAACACACAGTATTTGACTATTTTAGGGATCGTCTTAATTTTCTATACAGTCAATGACTAAATAGAAGCATTTTATTATATATTATATATGTAATATGTTTCTGATTGTATTACTTTAGAGATAATTTTCAATACATTTCTCTTGATTCTTCATATTCAGTCATGGCACACTTTCAAATTTGGCAATAAAATCAAATAAAACAAATGTTTTTAGAAAGCTTTCTGAAATTGTTTTCTGGAATTATATTTGATTTTTCAAAAGAAGGGAACCTTCTAAAAAATTACTTAAATAAAAATGTACATACTTAATCATTAGATACACTGCTGTTATGGTATTATCACTATCATTTGCATAAAGTGTGTTGTGCAAAAATGTTATTTTACCAAAAACTTTGATTACAATTTGGTTGATTTGACATATGAAATAAAAAAAAAATCCAATTTAAATGTCTAAATACAGACAACTACACACAGGAAGCATGAAGTTTTATTAAATGCACAAGTAAAATTACATTTACGACAGTGTGCACAGTGGAGTAATTGGTTTTCTGGTTTGATATGTTAAATAAGCATTTATCTCGTCTTATATGTTGAGGAAATATAATAATTAGAAAAATGTTGCATCTTTATGTTTCCAGAGACTTTTTTATATTCATTTTTGTGAAGACCAGCTATTTCTGAGTCTTATCATATAGTATATAAAACGATAATTATATTAGCTCTGGCTGTATTTTAGGTATTTATTATTTTTTTTTTTTTGAAAAAAGTGAATTTCAAGTATTTTACAGTCTTTTTTAGCGTTGTCTAAATTTTAACTATATCCATATTCTCAGCAGCTCTAATAAGTTTTTGTAGGCTACTTTGTTTTTTCAATACAGCTCTAGGAATTGATGTCCCGTAGCTATATAATAATGATAATAATTAAAAAAATAATAATTATAATAATAATTTAACTTTATTGATCTCACACTGGAGAAAATTACCTCTGCATTAAATCCATTGTGCGGCGCCTGGGGCACAGTGTGGGGTTAAAAATGGAGGTGAGAAAGGGAGAGGAGATACTAGTAAAAGATAGATGGAGGGAAAAGAGAGGGAAAGAAAAAAAGAGTCAGAAACACAACTGCATGAAACAAGAGGGTTGGAAAACAGATAACAAAAGAAACAAAAACACACAGGCCACAAAAAGAGCGATTATCCCATAGATGCCCAAGCATATACATTTATGTTGATTCCACAAGATGGTTCAAAGTTGTATATATCTGCAGCTTCAACTTAGTATTTTGAATTAGTATGTATCTGTGGACACCTGGAACCAAATGCCTGTTGTATATATGCATAAGTTTGCAGGTGTATAATCGGTTCACAAACCCTCTTCAGAAGAATATGCTCAACAGCAGGCGTGAGTGTCCTCAGACCTGCCCTGCTAGCAGATCAGGACAAACATAGAGGCAGGCAAAAACACTGATATCTTAAAGTAGCTACAAAATTAGAAATTTGTTTTATCAGATTAGAGCTTCTTTTTCCACCTGTTTAGTACGTCCCCTACCTAGGAATTTGTAACATGTTACGTGTTATTTTTATTGATGATATGTATGTTTTGTATTAGAACTAATGTTTCCCCAAGTAGTTTATCTAATTAGGAAAGTTCCTCTGTCAGGATAAAAAGTCATCTTCATTATGTACATGGAAAAGATTTAGTAAGGGAATGAGAGCGGTGTCCTTGATCTAAAAACATAGTGTAATATTTTGATAAGGCTGGAGTCATTGAAGTGTATGACGTAATGATGCGTTGATGTGGTATACTGGAGTTGTATAAAATGCTTCTCTAGCTGTGATTTTGGGCCGATTTGAACGAGAAGTTTTTTTTCTCAGGAAAGAACAGGAGAGAGAAAGCTTAAAGGTGTTAACAAAAAGCTTTCCTTTACAAACATAGTTTTCTTTTATATATTAGGTAACCTCAAATACCTTTTTAGAAAAGCTGTAATTAAAGATGTATCTAAATACCTGAACAGAACTAAAGTAGAGTTGAAAAATGAATTAGGGACAAATACCATAAGACTGTTTTTGCTCCTTTTTATTCAAAATGCATTAATTTGGGAGTTGGTATATTGGGTATATGTATTTAAAAGGTTATTTTTTTAGTGAATTAAACTAAATTGAATTGAACATATACATAGAAAATATACATTGATCAGCAAATTAAGATGTATAGTTATTTATTAATCATTTATATTTTATGTTATGATACGGAAAAGGATGAGGGCCGCTAAAAATATTTTTAAAAGTCAGGGAAAAAAGTCAAAATTTTGACCTTAATCTATATCAATGCATTGTTGTTTTTTTAAACCATGTTTTTATTTTCACCCACACTGTTTACATTTGATCACTGCTGCAAATCAAAAAATGGAAATGTTATAAAAGCTGTACAAAACGAAATTTTGTTTTGTATGCACTCCAGAGGTGTCAAGTACTTAAGTACACTTTTTGGGTATCTATACTTTACTCCATCACTTATTT